TGCTGTCGAACCCAAGTTATAGTGCAGTACGCTACCAGTCATACCTTTGGAGACGTTGGTATAAGTGACTTTTATAAGAGGCGGGAATGTTTTAATTCTAATGTAAATGTGTGTTGTCTATTTTTTGTATTGGATGTCTTTTAAAATGGACCTTGAGTCTAATAATAAAAGTTGACGATTAACACAGCACAAATAATGCATGACTTTCTACTAATATGCAAAAATAGTTTTTCAAAGACAGAGGAACAACAACAAAGAGTGTGTGCATAACAACCTGTGAGGATGAGGATTGAGAGATGAAATCAAACTAAGCAAAAAAAACTTAAAGAAACTGTAGAAAAATTAATGTTTCAAAAAAGGTTTACAATGAGGAGAGACAATTATCGACTTATGCATTTGTTTTATAACTCTCTGGTGTTGACACCGGGGAGAAAAGTGAATCTTTTAACTCGGAATTAGACAAAAACACTTCGTAAGATTTTTTACAGTGTGGTGATTATTTAATGTCAATCTAGCATCGAATCTGAGTGTTTTTAATGGGGGGGAAAAAACACCAAAATAAAACAGCCAATAGTTTTTTAAATCATTTTTAAACACATGCTGGTGTTATTATTAAAGCAGTGCAGAGGCTTGTTGTTTGTAAAAAGGTGATTGTTGGTACCTGCAGGCTCCTCTCTTGCAGGCCGGGAGGTTCACTCGGTATGCTAACTCGATGTGTTCCCATCGGATTTCTTCTGGTTTCACTGATTCCACCCAACGCCACGCCGCTTTCTCCAGCTGTAAGCGGGGCGCCATGCTCCTACAAGGCTAACAACCACACAACAACAACAACAACAACAAGAGGCGAGACGTGAGGAGTCGTTACAGAGAAGAAGCACCGAGGTTAACTCAAACTGTAACATAGCCGGCTAACGAGCGGCTAAAGCACTGGCAGCGTCAACCTTTTCCGCTAGCTGACGTCGTGCTAACACACCTGTCTACCTGGCGTTAGCGGAGTTACTCCTTCACTGTCCTGTTGAACTCGTTCGTGTTAAAGCCTAAACCACACGTCGCTACACCGCACACAGCGCTGAGGTACATTTTGTAACGAGAAGCCGAGTTAGCGGAGTCACACGGCGAGCAGCTACTAGCCCCATGCTAATGCTAACTAGCTCCCCGGCAGCGCTAGCAGCTAGTTCCCTGTGTTTTCCATGAAACGCTTCCTGACGCCGCGTTACGACTTTATTCTGTTTTAAGGTCAAATTGTTTTTTTTGTTTTTTTTTTCGAACCTTTCATGCGTGCAGCTGCTTCACCGCCACCAACAACCCCGCTAAAAAAAAAAAATGTTTTCATGAATTTTTTTCACATTTTATTCACGGGTTATTTTAGATTTAGCGCCCTTACGTCAATTTATAAATATATTATTTCTCCGCTCAAAAGCAACACGACGTCAAGTTGTGACGTCATCGACGTCGTTTTTGTTATGACTGGAGGCAGGACCGGATGCGCGCGCACTCGCCGCTTTCTGTGGGTCAAAGAAGACAAAATGTTTCGTTATTCATTCATATTTAATATTAACCAGTATGCATTTTTTTTGTCTTAAACGTCAATACTTCATATTTAATTATGGAGGATCAAATAGGCCAATACTCATTTGCAATAAAAAAAGTAATTAATTAAATACAATTTACTGCATTATATTATATAACTGCACTCTGCATTACTGTGGTACAACACTGCCTCTCTTCTCTGCTGTTTACATTACTTGCTGCTATTCATCATACCAAGTCACTTTAATCATCACTTTATCTTGTCATTCTCTGCAAATATTGTCTCAATTCTCAATTCCCCCCAGTTAACTTCATCATTCATTTTGTACCCCCTGTTTTTATTTCTATTTTTATTTTTAATTATCTTATCTATTCTGTTTAATGTGTATTTGTGAGCTTTCTTGTCTATGCTGCTGTAACGCCCAAATTTCCCCTCTGGGGATCAATAAAGTATTATCCTATCCTATCCTATTTCTATAAAATAAAATAAAAAGCTAAGCTAGAGCTGCATTTATGCACATTAAAATATGAACTCTAAGCAGGTCATGTGTTGAGTGCATTCAATTGTTTTCAATATAAGTTCTTCTTGTAATATAAATTAATTGCAAAATGATATAAACATATAAAATGTGTTATTTAATGTCTGTTTTTGATAACTCTGCAATATCTGCTTTTTAAAACATTGCTGTACATATATAAACAACACAACTTCAGAAGGTCAACACTTTTTTATTTTTTTATATTCAGGTCTAATTACAGAGTTTTTTCCTCAACTGTTTATAGGTTCTTGTTTAAATCGCACATATATTTTTATCCCTGCACGGGTTATCTACATTTCTTGTATAAGTCTATTTTTAAATGGACAGTTTAAGTTTGATTCATCTAGGGGTATTCTTTAAATCTTTTTTCGGGTTAGGGCGTCGGTTTTGCGGTTTAATTTGTAACAAATGTCTCATGTCATGTACGTCTTTGAAACCTACTACTGGATGCTTTGAATTTCCCTCAGGATCAATAAAGTATCTATCTATCTATCTATCTATCTATCTATCTAAACCCTTTCATGCATAAATTATAAAATAAATCAGGTAGCCAGATTTTGTTAATATTACACTTCTAAGGAGATGCAAAGTGACATTATTTAAAAAAATGTTTTAATTCATAGTTCTGAAGTTTTTTGAAGTTACAGAAATGTTTGATTTTGAATTTGACTTCGATGTTTGTATTGTGAATATGTCGGGTTTAATCTCTGCTCTGCACTCACATGCATGTTGCTGGTTTACAAATGAATCTAATCAGAACAACAACTCATGATGAGGTTGTTCAGGTTCAAGTTCGTGTTACTTTATTTGTAGCCATAGGTAAATTTGGTTGCAGGGAGAGTCACTAAAACACAATGCATAAAACATGCAAAGTGCAAGGCACGCATGGTACATGGGTAAAAGTGGAGGTGCATAAAGTGTGCATGGTTCCAATTGCATAATCATTTGGCCTAAGCCTTCTTGTTTCCCTTAGCTGCTGATATAACCAGCTTAGCTGTGCCATCATACCTTCCCCTGCAGCATTGTACACCTTAAGACTGTGCGTGAGTGAAGCAGGAACCAGTTGAATTTTGGAATGGGGGGGAAATCCAAATCTTGCCATTTCCAAGGTTATACTGGTTGAAAAACAGGGCTGAAGCAAAACTGGAACAGTTTGCACATTGAAAACTTGTAAGAATGGATAGCATGTGTACAAGGACGATGTGAACAGCTGTAACTGCAGAAACAAAGGCACATATACAGTCCTTATTGTGCATCATTGAAAGAGGCTTACCTGGAGAGCTATTTGCCATATGTTGAGATGTTGTAAATAGTATGGCAGACGGGTGCACTGCATGTGTGTGAACTAATTACACCGGCATTAAGCATGTGTGATCTCGTGCAGTGAAAATCTAACACAGTGAAAATATTGTTGCTGAGGTTTTTTTTTTTTATCTCAAGACTTGTAATGTAATTTTTTTTAAAAAGCAGACTGTCAAATTTAGATCAACCAAGATCTTAATAAATTCCCCTTTCTCTTGTTATGGCTTTAATTACAGCTGGATTTTCATCTGGATTTCTTTATGGAGAGCACATCACATATTTCATTCTCTCCATTTGATTAAATTGAGTTTGAAGATTATTTTTAATACTGCCAAAAATGGCTGAGCTGATGATCCCAAAGGCCTAAGAGGGTTTCAAACTTAAAGTCTTTTAAAAGTCATTTTTTGACTCTCTGAGCTTAAAGAAAAGTTTCTTATAAAATGAAACAAGACACTGATTCGGTTAATTGCAGGTGTTCTAAGTTATCACAGAATGCAACACAAGAAGCACCAATCAAAAACATTTTAACTGCAGCTCAGTTCGAGTCAACATCTTCAAATTTGACTGAAAATTCCAGAGTATTTCAAATCTGTTGCCAAAAACATGCAACGCACCGCTTATATAATCAGAGGCGCTGCTTGTTAACAGGCAAGGCAGGCAGCTGCTTGGGGCCCCTGACCAGTAGGGGGCCATCCGAGGACTGCAAAACTCTAGACGATAGCAGTGGCTCAGAATGTGCAAATTTTACAATGACAGTAGGAAACCTCCCTCAGGGGGCCCCATCTGACAATACTCAAGCGTTCCAATATTCCTGCAAAAACTTCAGCTGGTCACTTAAAGTTGCCGTTGGTGTCAGATTATTTTTTAACATAATGGCAATGAATGCCCCAAGTGAATTTTGCCTATGGCCCCAAAAGACTCTAGAATCACCACTGTATATCATTTGATGCAGCTTGATATGCTTCATGTGCACAAGGAGATTTTCAAAATAAGAGCAGCTTTTTTCACCAAAACCATGGAACAGTTTACTTCACATGAGATCTGCCTCGACCCCTGAGTGTTTAAAATCCCTGTTGAAAACTTATCTCTGCTTTTTAGCTTTCCCTTCACAATGAGAAAGTTTTATCCCAACATATTTTAGAACTAGGCTACTTTATATTCATTCATTGATTTTTATCTCCAATACATGTTATTATTTTCACATAAACTTATGATGTATTTTTGGACCCTTTTTACTCTGTAAAGCACCTTTGGTCAGCCTTGGTTGTTGTAAATGTGCCATGTTAATACAATTGGCTTGACTTGACAAGAAGATGGTCACTTTATTCTTGTAGAAAGAAAATAATTTTGCACATATGTCAAGGTGAAATGAGAAAGACTCTCTCTGAAATACGAATTATTACACTGAAATAAGGAAAAAACAATTTAGAGACATCCCTAGAAATCTAAAACAGAGAAGTTTAAATGTTTAAATCTGCTGTTCGTGACATGCAGCAGTTTAAGTGTCCTTGAATGCAACACGTTGAATGACTGCTGAGCATGGATGTACAGTATTATAGAAGCTGCTGAGGCTAATGAGTGGACTAGGCTCCGCCCACAGCTGCCCGTGAACGGCTGCAGCTCCCTTGAAGCTGCCAGGTACTTGCAAGGATACCTCAACTCAAGCATCTCTTCACCGCTCCTCAGGTAAAGAAAAGAAAACCACCTTTATTCACGTTTTTCTCTTTAGTTTTAGACATGTTACTGTTGGCATGTTCAAGCTGCATGAATACGTTTGTCTTTGTTCAGATTGATTGTCTCTCTTTGTGAATTTAAGAAGTTTAAAAATAGCTCGTTCTCTCTCTCTGCTGCAAATGCATGCACTTTCCTCTCCGCAGATTAAGGTTATATCCTTTTCACATACGGATAGATTTTGTAATAGGACGACTAATTTAAAGTCTCATGTTGTGATATCCTCAGTTTTATGCATTTACCACTGCAGCAGATTTGGCTGTTTCTGATATTGTTGGGATCATTAAGGGACAAAGACAGCTAAAAAAAAAACCCCATCATAATCAGTTTATATGTTTAAGCTCTTTGATTCTGGATGACTTTCAGGTGCTTGATTTTAGATTTATTTCCTTTTGTTTGAAGGTAGCTTTAATGGTTTTAAAAGCAAATCAATTATTACCACTGAATGCAACACTTAAATTAAAATGGAGACAGTACAGGAAGCCTTTTTCAGTTAAGGGGCTGTACAAGTTGAATATCTGTTTTCTGTTGACTGTGACTGTGTGTAGGGGTTAAAAAGATGTTCAATTAAATCTGAATGAATACCTGTTAATGGGTTGACCTCCTGTTATGAAAGTGAGAATGTGTCCTGATTATCTTGACAAACATAGACTTAATTAAAAACTAAATCAGATATGTTTGCAAATGATTTCCTGAGTCTCTCATGAATGTCATAATATTTCAAATCACTTTCAGACTCAGCTAACCCTGCTGTGGTCTTTAACATATTTCTGGACACGGCCAGAGTTCATCGGCCCGTCAAGGCCAAGATTAGAAAACGACCCAGTTTTTTTGTCCTGTTAAGGATTCGCCTGCTAATCTGTTCCCACAACAGACACAAGGAAGGAATAGGGGAGATGAGAAGGAGGGAGGGAGGGCTGGGAGATTAACTAACACGGGTATTTAACTCACTAATCCGCTGCTTTTCTGAGTCTTGTGTAACTGATAGGTACAAACGGGCTTTAGCCTGCCGAGCGAGGGCTGACCTCATGCTACTGTTTATGTAACCAGAACATTAAGAGAAAGGTGGGGGGCATCTTTCAGGGTTGTGGTATCCAGAGGAAAGTTAGGTTCAGATAACAAACCCTCTGTGTCCCTGGGGTTCAGGCTGTGGCCAGGAGTCAAGAAAAACTGAGACCACCAGAGCAGAACTTATTGAAGGAGATAAATCTGATCAGTCCACTTTATTACATCAAAAAAACATGAATTTCTGAGAAGTTTTCCTCATCTCTTTATCCTTAAAGTTACATTAACATAACCTCTTGTTCCCAAAGAAAGGATTTCTCTCCTGCAATAATTTCCAAACAACTTTTCTGAAGCCTTTTGCACTTTTGAAAACTAGGGATCGACCGATATGGGATTTTTGGTACTAATACCGATCGCTGGGAGAAAACATTCTGATACCGATATATCGGCCGATATCTTTCTTAGATCTGTGTTCAATCTGTAGAGAGATAGATAATATAGACATTCACATTCATTACATTGATGGCTTAAATATGGATCAAACACTTATAGAAAAGATAGGACAAGATCAGGGCAGGCGCTACAGACAATGACTATGTTTACATGTATTATTCCACCCAACACCACATTTACAGCAAACACATCGAAACACTGAAGCTTCACCTGCAAAAATATTATCATGATGGGGATGTTTCTTTTGTAAATTCCTTTATTTTGATGGAACAAAGGTTGTCAAATATGCCTACAGAGAAATAAAGAATGCAATCTACAGCCCTAAGTATTGCAGATGACACGAGCACAGTGAGCTGAAAAATAGTTAAAAGCAGCTCTGCAGGTGAAGAGACCTGGGTACCCTGAAACCTGAGAACCACACAAGCCAGATGTTTTTTTTATTAAATTTTATTAATTTTATTTTTTAGATTTATTTTGGGGCATGTTGTGCCTTCGATGTAGAGATAGGACAGGGATAGAGCTGGAACTCAGGGAGAGAGAGAGAGAGTGGGGAATGATGTGCAGGAAAGAGGTCACAGGTCAGATTCAAACCCGGGCCGCCTGACACATGCACTAACCACTACGCTACCGGCGCCCCTATTTAACCTTTATTTAACCAGGAAAGAAACTTGTTGAGATTAAGACATCTATTTTTTAAGAGCCTCTTCTCCGAGACAGGAAGCAGCACGATTTACAGAGTATCACACAAACAACGAGCAGTCACACATACTGATTGTTAGACACAAATAACAAATCTAAAAAGCACATTTTTGTGAAGATCCAACACAAACACATCAGGGAGAACATACAGACAGATGTGCCCGCCTCCACATCCTCTTAAAATCATCCAATGAGAGCAGCTCAATAATCAGCTTAAGATGTGAGTCAGAGGCTGAGATCATCAGCGGACAGGATTTGACCAAATCTAACAAACAACATAACACATGAAGATGTACTCCGAGATGATAGACTACCACAGAAATGATGCAGCAGGAGGCCGATGGAGCTACAACTAATGTTTATTTATCTATTATTGTGGTGATTAGTTTCACTCTCATACTTATGTTCATCTTTAATCTAAGAAATGGAGGGCGGGGGAATCAAAGCGCTCAAAGAGATGAGTTGCGTCTTGTCCAAGCAACAGTTCTAAACCACAAAATAAATTCATAAAAACTCTCATAAAAGAGGAAAAGCTCACTTTGAAGACGCTGGAACTGTGAGGAAAACAACGAGTGAAAGGATTACTGAGTTATCAAAATATGGATAAGTCTTTTTAAAAAAAAAATCAATATTCAAAGTTGAAGGAAATGTCAAAAAGCAATGTTTAATGACTTATTCCACTGCTGGTTAACATCTGGATTCTTTCTGTGAAGTGCATCAGATATTTATTCTCTCTGTCCTTCATTTGATTTAATGAAGTTTTAAATATTTAGACTCTTTGAACACTCCCCAAATCACTGTTCAAACATGCCTAAGTAGTTATCACATGTAATGGCTGCACCAAAATCCTACAACAAGAGCCCCGTTAGCACCACATTAAGATTGTTTACTGTTACTTTAAGCAACACTGGTGACTTCCCACTCATGAAAGACAAATCCTTCTTTTTATTGAACCCTTAAAGATGACATATTATCCCCCTTTTCCACCTTTTCAAACAGTCTCCTGTGGTCAAAATGAAACATCTGTGCTGTGCTTTGGTCAAAATACAACATGAATCAAGCACCAGAGGAGGTTTGTGACCCTGTATAAACCAGCTCTCTCAGAACGCTCCATTTTGGTGTGTGTGTCTCTTTAAATGCAATGACCCCTCCCCCTGAGTTTTCCCGGTAGACATCACTCCTCTGTAGAGAGAATAAAAATGGCGGACCTGTGCAAAAGTTTTGTTCTAGGCTGGGGGTGGAGTCCATGGGTGGAGCTATCAGGGGAGGGGAGGGATTTTTTTTTTTTTTTTTTACCAGAATCCCACTGTGACATCACAAGGAGAGCACGTTTGAAACGGAGCATTTTTCTCTGTGTTGTAAGACTTATGCAGACCACAAACAAAGGACTGGATGGTTTATTTCACATTTTGTGGATCAGTAGACACTCAGGTTACCCAGATATATGTTCAAAAACACTGTAGAAGAGGATTCTTCATAATAGGTCCCCTTTAAGGAATGTTAAACATTTTTCATGTTTTCCTCAGGAGTCTACGGCAACGTCAGAGCCGAGATGGGGCGGAAAGAGATCAAGTGCAGCTGGAAGAAAAGCACAAATAACATCAAGGATGTATTTGAATTCCTGGGGAAGATGGGATCGTAAGTACTGATGATGACAATTCAGTTCAGACAGAGGAGAGAGAGGGACTTTTGTATTTCTGTGTGTGTACTTAAAGAAGAGAAGAACTTCCCCATTGATAATTGCAAAACAGTGGTGCTGGTAGAGAACATCAGTATGTAAATGGAATCTAAGACAAACATGTTCCATGTCTATTGAACAAATTAAGGGAAGAATTTTCTTTTGGAAAGTTGAGATTTGATTTCTCCACCAAGCGGTCCGGATTAGGTCATCTGTTGCAGTCTGATCCTCCGGGTGACGTTTTGTTTACTCTGATAGTTCTAACAGAAGTATCGGTTCTCTCCTTCCAGCGTCTCTTCCTGAGAAAGGCAAAAGGTTAGCCATGAGCCCCGTTTCCACCAAGCCGTCCAGTTCAGTATGTTTTGGTACAGTAGACATTTATTGCCATTTCTACCGTCAAACGTTGGGAATGCTACCCCAAAAAATGATCTGCACTGCCCTACATTTCTGCTTCCCTTCTGTTGGGGAGCCAAGAGTACCGATCTGACCCTTAAGAGTGGAGACACTGCAGTCTGGTGATTGGTTGAAAGAATCGTCACTCACCAAGTGAGGTTATGTTGGCTGTGGAAACGCAAGCAAGATCAGGGTTTACTGTCCCAAACTGAACCAAACCAGACCGCTTGGTGGAAACTTGGCTTGAGAGAGAAACCCATTTTTAAGACTGTTATGAGGTAACGTCTTAGACTGTTATGTCATGGCGTGCGTGTCAATTGTGTACTTGTTGAACCATGCTACTCCAAACTGATATTTGATAAACAGGTTGGAAGTCACAGCTGAGATTTTGCTCGCACTAGTCTGGGATCTTATTTGATTTAGCGTCCCTGAGTCCCTCATGGAATAGCAACATATCTCAAAACATTGAACTGTAAAGTTGTCCTATGTAGTGTCCATCTATTCTCCCTCATTAACCTGGCTATTACTGCCCCCTAGTGGGAATTCAGTACAGTCATCATTTTGTATCATCTTAGCAGATATTGGTGGTGATCATGGTTCACTCCAACAGTATGACAGCATCCCTGATGGTCACCTCACACACAGCTGGTCTGAGCTGCTGTCTGTGATGTTGGAAATAAAACAGAACATCATGAACGATTGCATCTTATTCTGCTTCACATTTCACTTTTGGGAGATTTAGCAAGAAACCCCACATCACTGAAAATCAGTCCGCTGCAGCGGCACTGGTAGGAGCTCCAGTCACGTTAACTAGCAGTAATAAGGAGACAGAGAGTTGCTTAAGATGACTTAACGTTAGCAAATGGGTTTCCTGGTTGAAAGTGCGACTGTGACTGGTTTTGGATGTTCGTTTTGGCAGGCAGCTGCTCTCCCCTCTTTCCAGGATTCTGTACCACCACTGAATCCTTTAGTGGTACGCAGAACCAGACTGTACCTGAACGGTCTGCTTCTTGAGGCACTTTTTGTCAACAGGCAACTGCTTGGGGGTGCCAGACCAGTAGGGGGCCCATGAGGGCTCACAAACGTAAACCAAAGCAGTGACCAAAAATGTTCAAATTTTGCGTCTACAGTAGGAATCCTCCCTAATGGGCCCCATCTGACAGCACTCACTTTCATTGCCCTGCTAAGCGTTGCGTGCATTGTTGCAGTGAAAACCAAAGTTTGTCAATGAAAGTAAACAAAGAAAAATGAAGAGGAATTTAGGAGAGAAAAAAGAAACAGGAAAAAAGAGGAAGAGTAAGCGTTGGGACACGGGCAGACATAAAGGTGATGAACGCTGCTGGGTTGAGGGCCCCCCAAATGTTTTTTTGCCTATAGGGCCCCACCAAACTCTAGAATCACCATGAGGAGCAGAATTCAGACAGAAAGTGTGCTGAGCAATGACTTGAATGGTTTAGTCAGAAAGGCAACACAAAGAAGCCTGTGTGCTTTATAGACATTGATTTATTCTTCTACAGTTCAGAGGGCTGTGACTGAATTTAGATGGAAGCTGTCGATCTACATGGTGAGGATAATCCTTTCATGTTCTCACTGACACGTTGTTTTGTCAATGGAGCCTCTCACACTGTCCGTGTAATCCAGTCACAGCTGAGCCCGCTAATGAGGGACATCATGACATCTTTAGGCGGTTTGAAGACAGTCAAATATTGTAAAAAATGTCCATGCTACTATATGTATTTTAAATGAATTAACAGAAATCTGTGACAGTCTATAATCAAGCTTGTGTGTGATTTATCCGGTGTGTCAAATCTGCAAATGTTTGGCTCCCCGAATTAAGTTGATCAGCAGAAGTCAAAGAAATGTATTCACACCAGCTTGGCTTTATATCCTTGATCAGTCGACGACCTGCTCAAGGTGTTACCTGAAGGTGTCGCTTCCACAGGGCCGTCCAGCAGCCTGGAAGCTGCTTAAAGGGCTCCACCTTTGACTGGCTGTGAATGAGTGTGTGTGTGTGTGTGTGTGTGTGTGTGTGTGTGTGTGTGTGTGCTGCCTGAGGAGGTTTTAGGGAACTGACGTCAGACTGCAGTGAGTGCAGGAACATCCTAGCACCACTTCATTAAAAGATTAAGAGTCTGACTGTCTATATTGGTGTGTGGGTGTAATGGATGTAAAGGAGGGGGATATAAGCAGGTACAGGTGTATGTTTGTACACATGAGGTGTACAAACGTGATTGAGTCGACACATCTGTTGCTGTACTGTAAATCCATAAATAATGGAGAGCTGTTTTCAGTGTTAGTAGCATGTGGGCATGAGCTCATGTCTGTCACAGGATGCCTCGCTTTCTTTTTGTTCAGATGCAAAGTGTTTTAAAAATCCCCCACATATGATCCATAAAGACTTTTAAATCAGAAAATGTTTATTTTCCTGCTTTTAAATTAGAAATAAGTTGTGAATAATAAGTTTTAACCACACACAAAATGCAAAGTAGAGTTTATTTTTTTGTTAAGAAACTGTATTTGTTCGTCCAACCTTTACGGTGGAAAACCAAAATTACAAAAACTTTGAAACGCTTTTTGCAAAGCTTGAGACACATTTACATTTGGATAAATATTTTTACATTTTATAAACAAAATAACAAAAACAAAACACTTTTACCACAGACAAAACATTACATTTTTGATTTTGATTTTTTTTACAAGATGCAAAAAACCACAGAGATAAATTTACAAATCGGCAGAACACTTTTACCAATCCCCAAAATGAATTTGCAAACCTCAGAATCTCGCTGGAAAGGAATATTTACCAAATGCAGGAAGTGACTCGTAAGTGATTGAGTGAGCGGTCGATTCATTCGTTTTGACGGAAAGACCGTGTGTTAACTGTCTCCGGTGGGTTCCAAAAAAACGGACAAAAACATCATTCAGTCACCATAAAATAACGGCAAATCAAACTAATTGACGGCTCACTCAGTCGGGTCACTTCCACATTTGGTACATTCACTTTCAGCCAAGATTCTGTGGTTTGTAAATTAGTTTGGGGATTTGGTAGAAGTGTTCTGCCGGTTGTAAACTTGGGTCACCTCTTGTGAAAGGGTTTCACATCTTGTAAATCTAAAATACAGATTTGTTTTGTCCGTGGTAAGAAGTGTTTCATAATTTTGTTCTAAAAACCAAAATGTCTCAAGCTTTGCTAAAGTATGTCACACTCTTCTTGTATTTTTTGGTTGCACTTCCCAGCCACCGTAGGATCTCGATTCAAGATGCTTTTTTCGTGACAAAATAAGATAGCAACAACGACACGCAGTAGGAGTTCTCAGTGAGAGCCTAAAGAAAGACATACCGTGTTGAATCAGAGCCAAGACGTCTCTGATCTGTCGAGGTCACACGGTGTTAATGTGAAGAAAGCCTGCAAGTCTTAGAGTCTATACCTGGAGGTTGTTTGGCATCAACATCACATTGATAAAACACTCGGTTGTTCTAGTTTTATTTATATACGTTTACATAAAAGGGTGTCGTCTATCAAATATAGCCTGCATTAACAAGTATGAATGATATTCCTGATTTATCTTTAAAAACAACAACAACAGGTGGACCTGCAGCAGAATTATTTAAACATAAACCAGCAGTCAGGTGAGAAAATAAGTCAAGTCAGATATTACACCAGGTTGGGCTTTTCATTTAAAAGGTTAGAGTCTTGATGGTCTCTGTAATTTTGGAGGCAAAAATCAGGAAAGAGTTTCAGACAAACGAGCAGCCACACATCCAAACATAATTATTCAACTTTAAAATGCGCAAAATAACAAATTTAAACAGCAAATGTCAAATTCAAACACATCAAGCAGAACATCTGCATCCAGATTTGTCCTCCTCCAAGTCATTTAACATCCTCTTAAAATCTTCCAATCAGAGCAGCTCGTTAAATCTGAGCTCTGTTTGTGATTCGTTCAGAGTAAAGGGAACAGAAAACTTAAACAACTTTTTCACCCAGGTCAGTTCTGACTTTGAAAGAGCAATGAGAAATGGTCCTGGGGTCAAAGGTCATAAGTCTCTGTACTCGTCTGACTGATGGAGGTCAGGAGGTCTGAAGGAAGCAGACCTGTGGTAGACTTGGAGATAAGAATATAAACGCCAATCTGTTCATGAATCTAATTAAAGTATCTCATGGAGGGTTTCGATATCGACCAATAATGGTGCAGACCTAAGCCAGCAACCCGACTGATTCCACTTGTCTAACTTTGTTGTTGTTGTTGTTTTGTGTTTGCAGGGGAACATTTTCAGATGTGTTCATGGTGAGAGAAAGAAAGACCGGCGAACTGTACGCCCTGAAATGTCTGAAGAAGAAACACCTTACCCATAGCAATCTGGAAAACGAAATCAATGTCCTGAGAAGGTAATTAAACACACACACACACACACACACACACACACACACACACACACACACACACACACACACCCAGGACTGGATAGGACAGCTGAGAGAAAGGAAATGTGGGAGGAGCGACAGGAGTTGGGTGACATGCAGCAAAGGGCCGAGGTCGGATTTAAACCCCGCTAAGGATCAATACAATTTTCTAATCTGAGTTTTTCCTGTTGATGAACTTTCCCCTGATTTTTAAATGCATTCACATGCACAAAAAAGAAGAGTGCTGGAGTTGGACATAAACATGTTAAAACTCTCACATCTGATCCTTTGTAAGCCGAGAGAATGAGGAAGAAAGAGCTGCTACAGACGTCTCCTCATTTGTGGTCCTGAAACTGCTGCTGCCTCTTCAGCCTCGAGAGCACACGTTTGGAAAATAGACGGGTCTATTCTGAGTCTATTCTTGGTCTTCTCTGTCACATCTCCTGTTAAGCTAAATATATTAAATTAGGAGAGACTTAATCATGAGTGTCCCGAGGTGCAGAACAAAGAGGTACAAGAATAGCTTTGTTCCTGCTGCTCTCACTGAGCTGAATAAACCGTATCCACTTTTATTTATGTCCTAAACTTATTTTTATCCTGACTGAAGAGAGGATTCAATTATTTGTGTTTTTTTATTGATCTTATTGGTTGAGACTTCTCTCTCCTCTCTGCCCTGATTGGTGGAACCTCGAGCACTTTTATCATTTTTTGTAATTAAGTTTTTTAAAATCAAGCTTTAGTCGGTTTTAAATAGTTTTCCTGTTCTCTAATGTGTCGTCCCTTGTTTCATCCGTTTTGTTTTCTGTCTGTCATGATGGCTGCAAACAAATCTACCTACGGGTACAAATAAGGTCACCTGGACCTGAACCTGAACCTGAACTCTGAACCCTGAACATGAACCTTTTTATTTAATTGACGAGAAAAAATGATGGATGTTTTTGGTGATGATGTTTTCATGTATCCGAGTGTGGTAGTGAGGCCGACAGCAGGATAGGACAACCCCCGTGTTGGTGATGGAAGTAGGAAGGATGTGATCAGGAGAGGATCTCTGAGGAGCTGGTCCTGGACTCTGTTGAGATGACATGGATCAGTGACTGGGGTGTAGGAGGGTCGCTGTGATCAAACTGAATCTGACAGCGAAAGAGAGGAGAACAGATACTTATAATATGACAGCAGCGGGATGAACGGTCGATTAGGGTCGTGGCAGAATCTGGTTGGATAAGTGCTTAAAGAGTAAACAACCCTCAGTCAGCTGATCACCTGAGAGGGACATGAATGGATGTATGAAGGAGTATGAAACAGTCTTCCTGCTGAGCTTCATTTTTTTCACTTTGGTATGTTTGTTGGTTGCTTTGTCCCTTTTTATGGGAGAGTGGCAGACTTCCTTTGTTTGGTTTAATGCTCGCAACAACTGTAGAAGTTTAAAGTTTGGGATTATTGTTTGTTATCCATGTATGAAAACATGACATGTACCAACGCTGTGAAACGTGCTGTGAGATTTTCTCTCTGATTCCTAAAAACCTCTTTATTCCTGTTTCAGGATAAAACACGAGAACGTGGTTGGGCTGGAGGATTTCTACGAGAGCCGGACGCACTATTACCTGGTCATGCAACTGTAAGTGTGCTCTTTATCATCAAAAGGTTTATAGCGTACAATTTAATATGTTCTCGGCATTATCTGCACTCATTTTTGCAAAATTCAGCACACAATTTGAGATCCACACTAAATTGAAAAGTATCCGTTTAAAAGTGTTGTTGGAGGGCACTGATTATTTTTGTGTATTTTGTGTGTTTGCAGGGTTTCAGGAGGGGAGCTGTTTGATCGCATTTTAGACAAGGGGGTTTACACTGAGAAGGACGCCAGCACGGTGATCAGACAGGTGCTGGAGGCCGTCAGCTACCTGCACGAGAACAGCATCGTGCACAGAGACCTAAAGGTGACACAGAGACACTCACACACGTGGAGAGAAAAGAGTCTTGCTAAGACAAGGTGCAGAAAGAAAGTCATCCAGGGAACATGTTAGTTTTTGTTCAGACTAGACGCCCCAATCTTTTTTTGGTCACATGCGGACATACTTTAGAAAGTCTGGTAGAAAAAGAGAAGGAGCTTTAAACACCACACAAAACCTTCATCCAGATTGAAACTAATGCCTCTCATATGCATGCTCTGGCAAATCAAGCTGAAACTTTAAAGTGTCTTTTACGTCGCTTGCATTGCTAAACAAAAGGAAAAAGTGAACTAATAAGGAAAAATAATCACACAATCTAACAGAACTTTAGGAAACTCAGAGAGCATGGTGCATTAAATATACTTCAATAATCTGCAGGACAAGATGCAAAGGACTTTGTTTATTTTTTCATGCTTCTGTCACAAAATCACAGTGGTTTGATAAAAACATCAGCGCTGTTTTCACAGCCACAAAAGCAGAACGGCTGGTGGTGTTTGCACACACACATCTCATCTGCAAGAAAATCAGATGGACAGCCCGTCTGATTAGAGAATCTGTTGGAGCTGTAGTCTGAACACGGCGTGAATCAATCAACATTGTGAAAGTGGATGCATTGTCCCAAGTCATCAAAGTAATTCCAGGTTGTTAAAGTCTCAATACTTAGATCCTTTGTGATCCTTTGTGATCCCACATGTTTTAAAGTGATGCAATCTCGGTTTAGTTAATGATCAATAGCGTGGACAAGGTACACAAGGTTTATTTTTGGGACTTTTTATGCCTTTATTTTAGAGATAGGAGAGAGGATAGAGTCAGAAATCAGGAAAAGCGAGGGGGGGGGATTACATGCAGGAAAGGGGCCACAGGTCGGATTTAAAGCGACAGTGTCTTAAGTGCACAAATTCATCTGCAAAGTTTTAGTAATTAAACGTCTCTCATGTGTTTGAAGGAGTCAAAAGTGTGTTTGATGTGTGAAGGAGTTTGCTTGTGATATTTGTTACATAGTAACTAGAAGTTAACCAACATTGGGTGCCTTGGATTTCTATTTTTGTAGCTGTGGTATTAAAACAGGAACGGATTTCGTTCAATCTTTTACTAGTGTGTCATATCTGAGTTTAAAATTTAACCCTCACACTGTTATTGACTAAATTACTCATGGATATTGTCCACTCTCTCTCTCTCTCCCTCTCTTTCTCTCTCTCTCTCTCCCTCTCTTTCTCTCTCTCTCTCTCTCCCTCTCTTTCTCTCTCTCTCTGTCTGTGCAGCCTGAGAACCTGCTGTACTACAACACGGACGAGAATGCAAAGATCATGGTCAGTGACTTTGGGCTGTCTAAAACGTTGGAGCACGGCGTGATGTCGACAGCCTGCGGCACACCCGGATATGTCGGTGAGCAAACTGGGATACACAAACATACTATGTTATTTATTTCATTGATCTCCTGCTTTTTATACCTGATATTAAAATTAATGATTCTAAAACATGTAATTCAGGATCTAATCACAGAAAGGTAGTTTGATATGGTTACCATGACCTTTGTGCTCCGATTCAAATAGATTCCTCTGCACCAAAATTGAGGCCATGCATGTTGATGTGTTTTGGGAGAGTGGTTTGTTGTTTTGTTAATTGTTTAATGTTCCGCAAGTGCATCATTCTGCAGCCCCTGAGGTTTTGGCCCAGAAACCCTACAGCAAAGCAGTCGACTGCTGGTCAATTGGAGTGATCACATACATCTTGTGAGTACTATTTCCATTGTAAACGCTAGGTAGCAATCGGAGCTTCTACGTCAAATTTAAGCCAAACTTGATTTAAAGGCTCAATGGGAGAGATTTACGATATGTGTCGGGATCTTTGTTGCTGAGTTCTCTTTTGCTGTTTCTGCGTTGCAGGCTTTGTGGCTACCCTCCATTCTTTGAAGACAACGAGACTCGTCTGTTTTCAAAGATCATGAGAGCCGAGTACGCCTTTCATTCACCCTTCTGGGACGACATCTCTGAGTCAGGTACGACAACATCTGAGATGTTTGCGCTTTATCAAATGGAGTTTCAGTCACTTTAAGACATCCACTCTTTGCTATTTGTCTGCGTCCTGGTCCTGGACTAGAACCAGACTTGTAGTGAGTGTTGTTAGGATTTTATTTGAGGAGGGCGCGAGGAGAGACAGCATTTGCCAACGTTTTGAATTTGGACTGCAGTACCCATTTCAAACGCTAGGTGTCTCAGTTACATATTGCTCCTTTAACGGTGACTATCATCCAACATAATGCCATGTCGTAGGTTACAGTGCGTACCCTGATGCAGGGTTTTAGTTTGGATTTCGTAATCACACCTAAACGAGAACTCGTGAAGTTGTGCAACAGGCTGCTGTCATGAAATGTGACCAAAGAAGACTCATTACTTCAGCAAACCTCAGTGTCCGCTAAGTATAGAACAGGATTTGGCTTAACCTTATTCCGACTAGAACACCTCATTACATCACCTCACCTCTTCAGAGCAGCTATGGAGGTTTGACCTGCTTGGATTAGGTCAGATATGGTTACAGAAGATGATAAAAGGGGAAAGTACAGATCTCGCCTGCCTGAGGGATTAGCGTAGCAGGCAGTGAGCTAAAGACTTCCTCACCCAAAGAGAACATTTAGGATTGAATAATCACTCTCAAGACCTGAATAATAATGCAAAGGACATTACATCACAGGACCCAGTTGATTAGTTATTATTCATTAGTGTGACTGCATCTTAAGAGTAGTGCTGCTTGTGAGTGAATGTGTCCAATGTAGAGGTTATGCTGCTGGATTTAAATCAGTTGTTTCTGTTTGTTTCAACAGCCAAAGACTTTATCAGGAACATGATGGAGAAAAACCCAAATAAACGCTTCCTGTCAGAACAGGCCCTCAGACACCCCTGGTTAGTATCCAGACACCAACACACACAAACGAATGCAGTCTTTTTTTTTTTTCTAAATTAATCTTTTGTTATTTACTCATTTGTAGGATTGCTGATAACGTAGCTAAGGACATCGACATTTATCAGTCAGTCTGTCAACAGCTGGAGAAAAACTTTGCCAAATCAAAGTGGAAGGTAATAACAGCTTATTGTGACAGCAGATTAAATGTTAAGGTGTCTCTTTCCACATTTAAGACATTGGTACAATCATCCTCCTTTTTTTTCAAATGTCCCCACAGCAAGCGTTCAATGCGGCCTCAGCAATCAGTCACATGAAGAAACTCTCCCAGAGTGATTCCTGTCCCTCACCTTGCTCCACGCCCGACATCATTGTACAGTCAGCCTCCCAGGACGACCTCGAGGCGCTGGAAACCTGCTTTGACGAGGCCGACGCCCTGGACCCCAACGGGAATCCTGTAGTACCGTGCAGTAACCCTGATCTGGCAGATGACGACTCAAGAGATATCGATTTAGGGAGTGACGATTCTAGGTTAGAACCAGCTGCTAAAAGCTTTTGCATCTTCAGTTTAACTGAGACCAGTTAAAGTTTAAACAATATCGTTGTAATTTAGATGAATAAGGTACAATGAAGTTAAGGGGATTGTGGTCTTTGGAAAGAGATCTTATTGCTGTGTTTGTTTAAGTCTTCCCTGAGAGTTAGCGATCAAATAGCATCCCAAGTTCAACCTTATACTTTATTCTGTACTCCAGATCTTTGCTTACATTAAGCATAAGTATACACATATCCTGGTGAAATAGAGAGATTAGTATGACCTGCAAAAAAAAAGGTAATTTATGTGCTACATTTGGAAGCTCATATATGCTTATGAGAAAAAGCCGTGGTCCAAGGATGGAGCCTTGGGGCATCCCACAAATAAATATACTACATGTCCCCTGCCACAGGTGTGCCTTTGAACAGCAACAGAGTATTATAATTGATAAAAAAACGACTTTTGCTCACATGGGTACAACATTTAGCCAGATAAAATGATGTTCTTATTTAATCGTTCTGTCATTTGAATGAATCCTCGTTGTGTGCTGTGTTGCAGTCTGGCTGCTGTGGCTGAGAGGAAGGACCCATCGCTCCAGTCTGGAGTGTGTTCTGTCATGTGATTGGCTGGCTAACCTGAGATGAACATCATACAGGTAAAGTCATCTCTACATCAGTCTTAATTAAGATTTTGACTATAAATATGACGAACAGTTTTTTGTTTTGTTTTTAACATTCTCTCTCTCTCTCGTCTTTTCAGTTAATCTCTCGTTGTCCGGCACTCATCCATCTTGGTACTGTAGGAAGGCGTTGAAATATCAGCTTTTTCATGTCTTTTGTGCTTGTCCGCTGCACAAAAACCCACCTTGGACAGACGCATACAGACTCTACGCTGTGACTGTCTATATGCAGCGAACGCCACATTTAACAGACACATGAAGGAATTCACTTTCTTAAAAAAAGTTGCAAAGATGAAACCCTTTTTTCCTCACAATATGTATTGTATATAACTGTGAACATGAATGCACCACCATATATATATATATATATATACGCTCCATGTATTTATTTGAAATAGATTTAGCTGGCATTGTGAATGCAGTGTGGAAGCTAATTAAGTTTTGAGATTGTCATGGCCGCACACTGTCATATGTACGCTCTGTTTTAAGATGTTTTATGTTTATTCACTGCTTGAAACTGTGACACAATCTGGGAGATGGGAATTCTTTCTGCTTGTTCATGAGATTAAACTTTACTGTGAGGTGGGAGACACCGACACGCATTGACAGGGTGTGTCTGCTGCTGCGTTTGTCGTGATGCGTCGTGCACACAAGCTGCTCTTTTGTTACCCAAACTGAACTCATTAAGTGCCACAATCTGATGTAAAGATGCTGTAACACTGCTGATGTTGTGTATGATTCTGAATTCACAAATGTAGTGACAGATATGTTTGTATTTTTTATGTTATATTTTCTGCAAAAAGTCACATGAGCTAGATCTCCAGCTTCGTGGTGTGTTGTGTGAACATCTGCAACAACGACGCTGGATTCAGGAAGTTTTGACAGGACTTTTATTTAAATACTGTGGATTCTGCACAAACAACATAAACAAATAAATAATGTAACATTCAGCCGCTCTGCACTACTGACAAATAAACATAATCTGGTGCAACATTCACAGTGGAGTGTGTGTCGAGTTTTTGCGGAACCATTACAGAGTCCGAAGCCTTTGGTGGTCTTTTTTCAAGCAATTGAAACAATGGAATTTAAGACTTTCTGATTTGGGATAAGTAAGGAAAAAACTATGTTTACAGAATATAAGACTTTTCTCGTTTCTTTGCATTAGCGTGATATTTGCATCTTTGCATCTTCCTCACCACAAGAGGCAGCTCTAAAAACTGGATAATATCCGTCTCGTCTGTGCACAGGTCGAGTATTTAATATCAACAAAGTCACATGTGACCTGTGGTGACTCATGACGTAGCTTAAATAGCCTGCGTCATCATGAAACATGGCCCTACAGAGTCTTCTCGCCAAGATTCCCCAGCGACTGTATTCATAGAACCGTGGTTACAAACGTAACTCTCGTTTAGGACCACCATCATAGACTATGTTTTCTGTAACTTTTTAAAGGTTCATAACGCAACATATGGAAGCTCTAAGAGGACAAGTATCCACACATTTGATTTTATTCCAATTTTTTCTTAATGATAACGAGTACATTTAGGTTGTTTTTTCATGAGATCTTTGGATGACAACGCTGGTTTCCACATGATAATGAGAAAATTCTAGTAACTTTCTAAACATTTTGAGAAATTAACGGGAATACCAGCTTTGTTATCTCGAGATAAGAGAGTTGAGATGTCGAGAAAACAACAAAAATGTTCTTCTTTCCTCAGGAAAATGGGGAAAAAATTGAATAGATTTATGTTGTCATATGGCTACCTTGGTTACATATACAGTATGATAACAGTTAGATTTTCATTGAATTTATTTAGGCTACATGAGGGAAAAAAACTTTGCACTTTGGGGTTAAATATTGTCTGAAAATCTACAAAGAAATCTGTACATGTTAAACTGCAAAGGTGAGGAGTATTTTGTAAAGCTCTTTGAACCTTTCTACTGTCTTATTCCGTCCATGATGATTGTTTGCTATTTTTCAAATTTAGAAACAAATGCAACACAAGAGTTGCAATGTGACAGAGAAGAGTCATAGTGCTAGAGAAAACACTTCTTCTAACAGTAGATGTGGTTGAAGGTTGGTGTGAAATGATAATGTGGTCATAGACAGACAGTGGGGGGGGCAAGGGGTGCGCAACTCTCAGCCCTTGCATTCTCTATGGTTAGTGCCATGAAGTCGAAGATCGGCCAACAGTTCTTTCACCTTAGCGTCGAGTCCTTCAAGGTTGAGTGACTTCTGGAGGATCTCGTCCTGTAGTGTCCTCAGGGTATCTGCTTTACCTGGAAAAAAGAGAGAGAGGGTTTAGCGTTCCTATGCAGCTTGTAAAGAATGCAGCTGATATTTTATGGCAGAGTGTTGATGTAAACATTCAAGGCCTCATGGAGAAAAAAATGATACCCTCAAACAGCCGATGTAATTAGTAGAACAATCCAATATAATAAAAGCATGCACTTCACATTTCGACAGAGGGACAGACAAAAGCCCCTCGAACATTAAGGGACTCGTGCTGTGTTGCCGTTTCGCTGTCTTACCTTCCAGAGAGTTCATCATGTTGTCTGTTGTGTCTACCAGAACTCCGGCGTCGTCCTTCAGTTTCTTCAGTCGATCCTCTACATCTCCGGGCAGAGGACTGGTTGGAGCCTTGTCTTTAAGACGGCCGAGCTGATCCTCCAACGTCGACAGGTCCTGCAAACACACATCTCTGTGTTAGTAAATCGTTGAAACCTCTTCAAGGCTTTTAATGACCTTCAGGCTAAAGATGACGCATGTTAAGAAACGACTGACCTTAAAAAAAAATCATCATGCTACAAAAGGCTGTGACTAATTTTGTTTCACACTTTTGGTGGAAAAGTCAAACTGGAGTTTTAAAATGCATGAAAAAAATGTTAATCTGACTGAAGTCCATTTTCTCCAAGTTGGACTAACACACGCTGGGGGTCGATTTACTCTTGCATGGATACGCCTCAATTGGCCCCAAAACGGGCTCCAAACGGGCCTCGGGTTTTGAACCAGAAGTTGAACAGCATAAATGATATCGTCATAGATGCATGAGGGATGGGGTGCATCTCATTTGCATTAAAAGTAAAGCATGGAGTTTTTGCCAAAATGTGCAACGCTGTTAAGTTATTTTCACCGTTCAACAAAAAAACAGTTTGCTGCTTGCTAACTTGTTCTTTGATTGTTTAATGTGTAACATAATATGAAGAAGGTCCAACAGTTACTAGCTAAAAAGGGGGCGTATTGGCACCTTGAGACATACTTCCATCAATAAGTCGATTCCCCCTCTGTGAGAAAAGGACAGCAGTCCAGTTAAACAGCCCAATCGAGCTGTAACCATAACTCCACTTAACTGTGTAACATGTAAACATACTGAGTGAAGACTACCAATCGCTTTCAATTTGGCCAAACCAGCCGGTCTCTCACCTCCATTCCATCATCGGCTTCGTCCACAGCTTGGTCTGCGTTGTCCTGGGCTTCTTTGGCCTTCGGTCTTGCGTTGTCCAGCAGCTTTTTAAGCTCATCCAGCTGAGGTTTCAACGGCGTTATTACAGTTGTTATATCGTCCAGTGTCTTCTCTGCTGGAGTCAGCGCATCATTAGCCTGCACAAGGAGAAGCACATTACAGCTCAGTAAAAGCTATGCAGGTGATTAAGTCACAATGGCATGCACTGTTTGACGTCTCCGTGCTGCCTACCGTGGTCAGGGTGTTGGTCAGGTTTTCTATCTTGTCCATGCTTTCCTGCAGTTTTTCCTCCAGGTCAGTCATGGAGCCCTCCACTGTGCCTAAGCCTGACACCAGCGAGTCCACGTCTCCCTTCACTCCCAGTGCGGTGTCCCTGTGGATATGAAACCAGGGGGAAAAACCTTTAAATAAGTGAGGTGCTAAAAAACATACACAGAGCAATCAGACTCAAGAGAGGACAGAGGAGGATGGAGCGGCTTAAAAAATATTTCTGCTCTTCTACGCTGACCAGCTGTATAAAAATCAAGGAGTACCAATGTGTAGGCCCCGCCCACTACGCTCTGCCAATGAAAGGCAGTCGTCTGATCGAACCTTCACAACAGGGTCCTAAGTCTCTGACTAGACTCTTCTCCTCTGTCGCCCCCCGGTGGTGGAATGAACTTCCAAACTCCATGTGATCTGCAGAGTCCCTCTGCACCTTTAAGAAAAAGCTAAAGACCCAGCTCTTTCATGAATACCTACTAACTTAATGATGATGGTCTCCATATTATTGATGATGATGATGGTAATGACGATGGTTTTTGTTTGATAACGACGACTTATAAGATGGTTTCTATACTGATTAGAGCTCTCAAGAACTGCCCTCAATGTTGTGCTTTGCCTCTGGTCACTTCCTGTCAGCACCTGTGTGTCCAATCAGACTCAAAGCTGATCGTTTGCTCTTACTCACATTGTTCCCTTTTTTTCTAGATCCTTGCTTGTGTTGTTCTTACTCTCTGATGTACGTCGCTTTGGATAAAAGCGTCTGCTAAGTGAATTGTAGAATTGTAGAATCTTAATACACGACATAAATCTGGGATAAAAAATGGGAAGAGAACACACCTGGCATCCTTGGCATCATCCAGGAGTTTCTTGGCTTTTTTAAGCAGTGGCTCGGCGTCCTTCAACACCGACGTACTGTCTGGCAGATTGTCCGCCAGATTCTTCAGCTCATCCGCCTTCCTATTCAGAGCGGCCAGATTTTGAGGAAGTTTGGTTTTCAGGATCCAGTCGCTCACCTCCTTGATGTTGGTCAGGTTGGAACCTGGGTCTGTGAAGACACACCAGAATGTTGAAGCATATTGACTTCACATCAAATCCAATAAAACTAAATTCTAACTTTGCCACGTTCTACACTAAAACAGTGTTTACCTGACAGAAACTCTTTGAGCTCTTCCACAACATCACGTGTCTCCTGCAAGTCTCCCTCCAGATCGTCTCGGGTCTTTTTCATCTTGTCGGATAGCTTCTCTGCCGTATCTCTCACCTGATTGGTTGCCTCTTGTGCATCCTGGAGCTGTAAGAAAATGGGAAATGCTTTAAGGCTTTATCTGTGATTTTTTGATGCAGCAGATGTCGCCCTTGAGCACCAGCATGAAACCAAAACAACTCGCGCCGCATTGTTGTGTTAGCATGCTAATGCTAGCGATCTTTATTATGCTGGTATCTTCACACTGCATGTAAATTTACCTGAAATGAGCGTGATCTAGAAACACAGTTAAGCAGTGAGTACAGTATGTTATTCTTCTTTTCTCTAGTCCCTCAATTAAACAACTTTTATACACGAGGGGAGGAGTCAGCCGGCCGTCCCGGCGATGTAAACAAAGTGAAGATAGGACTCTGAAAACTCGGAAAGCATCACAGACAGTGGGACTCGGGTGTTACACTCATTGTAGACAGTCATGACTCACAGAGTTATTTTCAGAGGATATACTTGATTTCTCTTATATTTAAGTGTATTCGCATATAAAGCCTTTAAAACCGAGAAAAGTATCAAAATAAACGCTGCAGCTGTGAACCTGGGTGTTTGAAAGAAGTTGAATAAACACAGCAGAGCGTCTTTTTTTCTTTTTTTTTTACCTTCTCTGCAGCATCAGTGATCTTCCCTGTGAGTTTGTCCAATTTGTCTTTCACGTCTTCGGCATCGACGTCGGCCTTCTTGCCCAGAGGCAGAGCGCCCACACACTTCTCCCCCTTCTTGCAGGGCGGTGATCCCTCCGGTGGGCACAAGTCTCCCCCCTCACACTTCAGCGGGGTGCAAGGCTCCGTGCGAACACTACCACACACCTGAAAAAGACACAGAGAGCGTACACAGTGTTTTAAAGTGCAAAAACCAGAGATAGGGGTTTAGGATATTAGGGGTGCCTTGATGCTCCATAATGTGACATCTGGAGCTTTCCCATGGTCACAATCAGAGGCCAAAATGTGATCATCTTCAGCACTACACGACCTCTCTTTATGATGACAGATTTGTGAGATTTACCTGTTTGGCTACAGGAGTGAGGTCCGGTTTGGAGGCCATGTTCTGGTTCAGTTTGTCCAGGTCTTTGGTGTTGGCCGGCTGCACTTTGTTATACAGATCCTTGGTCTCGTCTCTGTTGTTAGTCGACTCCTGCAGCGTCTGTTTGGTGTCGTCTGCTTTCTTCACTGCGTCTGTAGACTCGTCATAGGCGTTCTTGATCACTGTAAATGCACCTGAGGGGCAGAAAGACTCGACGTAAGTATGAGGGTAATGTCGATGGTGAGATCAGACATCATCACAGTACATTCAGGGGTGCAATCTTACACCTGCAATCCATGTGTTTAACAAAGTGTGACTAATGTGTCCATATTTCTGACCTGAGTTGTCGGAACCGGGGGAAAGCTCCAAGGCTTTTTTCTTGTCTCTGTATTCCTCACTGAGGCGGTTAAGCAGAGCCTTAAGATTGTCCAGCTCTGAGTCCAAACCAGGAGTTCTGGTCACGGGGGGAAGGTCTGCATCAACCTTGTCCAACTGATCCCTGTGAGACATAAAAAAAAGGTTGCTCGGTTATACATCTGAGAGAAAATTAAATAAAAGAAATTAGAGAAATTAGACGCAAAAAAGTCGGACAAAAGATCACAATAACAATGGAAAACTTTTGCAAACAGCTGATTAGTGTAAGTAGATTCCTGCAAATGTTCCCGTGGTCCCTCACCTGAGCTTGTCCAGTTCAGCCAGTGCATCGTCGATCTGTTCGGTGCTGATGGTTGGCAGGACTAAGGAGTCCTTGATCTGGTTCAGAGTGGTCTCCATGGTGTAGATACGAGGCCCCAAGTCTGCAGGAACTCCAGGAAGAAAGGGGAAACCGGGAGAGAGTTTCTCTACAGCTGAGCTGAAGTTCTTTCGCTGAGCGTCCAGGGTGAAGAAGCAGGAAGGACAGGACTCGCAGGAGGGGAACGAGTCACAGCGTCCTCTGCTGCACGAGTCACAGCGAGTTCCTATGACGCCCGGCCGACACAGACAGGCCCCCGTATTCTTGTCGCACATTCCTGGAAGGGTTCCTTCAGGATCGCACTTGCACACTGTGGGGAGAGAGGGGCGACAAGGTCAGTGACTCACCCATCACCACCCAGTAATCAGTCAAACAAAGTAAACAGCTAAACCTGCAGCACCGACAAGAAAACATGATATATGGAAACATTTGAAGCAACGTTAGGGTGCTACAGCCTTAACAAGAGAGAGGGAATTAAGAGGGTCCTCAGAGAGTTGGTGGGTTTCTCTCGTTTTTTAGGGGCTCTAAAATAAAGGACATTTTTTAATGCTCATAGTTTACAGGGATCATGACAAATATTTCCTCGTTCTGTGATGTAAGACAGACTGGTCTGTTTCATAACAATCAGGGGTTACATCAGTCCACATCAGAGAGTTCAATTAGCCAAGTGCTAAAGCCGTTTAATGCTAAAGGAGTCAAACGTGTTGAGCTACAGTAGCAGGCTGGAGATGTGTCTTAATTTCAGTATGAAAGGATTAACCTGTGTGTGCGCTCTGCTTGGAACTTATTTAGAGAGACGGCCTATACCTGTTTTGCAAATGCACTCCTGATAATATCTAGATAATTGAAGGAGGACTGCCCCTGAAATCCTCCTGATCCAGTTTTTTTTCACACATGCACCTCACAGCGGGAGACTATATCTGTCAGAGTGGAGGAGGGGCCACCTGAATATAATTGTCTTCATGTCAGAGCTATGTTTAGTTTGACAGAATCACAATATTAAGGTTGACTTACGTTGACAGCCGAAGAGAGGGTTTCCATACGAGTTATCAGGACACCCGGTGCATGTTCTGCCTCCAAAGCGTGGTCTGCACTCACACTGACCTGTCACCTGAAGACAAAGACACCAAAGAAACCATCAGGACATTTTTGGTGAGGATAAAAAACACAAACTTAATCTCTGCGTCAAAATGTTTCTGTCACTTTTTCAATAACTTACAGCACTGACATACTGAGATAACCCCTTTAGAGTCCCCTTCTCTTACCTGGTCACAGGTGTCACCATAGGACCGGGTCGGGTCACAGCCGCAGGTCTCACAGCGTCCTGACAGCGCTGGTTTCCAGTAGCCTTTCGAGCAGACATCACAGGTTCGTCCGTGGAAGTGAGGACGGCAGAGACACTGTCCGGTCAGCGGGTCACAAGCATCGGACAACGAGCCGTCTACAGAGCAGGAACACTCTGAAGAGCAAAGGTTACAATCGTTAGGTGTTGGAGCTATTTAATTGTTGTTAGAATTCGTTTTTTTATTTAATTATTCAACACGTTTTCTTTTTTTAGAATAGATTTTGGGTAATATTTTCTTTTGCTAGTTATTTGTTTCGTAAATTTAGTTTTTGCATTAGTATTTTTGTTAGGTATTTGGGTAACACTGTGGGCACCAGAGGTTATTTAAGTAAGAGGCAGGTAGAGGACCAGCATGCACCTGGGTGGGCCTATGGTAGCAGCAGCAGCCACGATTTTCTTTGTTCTTTTTGGATTTCTTTTGCCTGCGTACATCACATCCCCCATGGTGCATCAGTGGTCATTTGATTATGTTTGATATTAGTTTATTTAGATTTTTTTTTAGTTTTTTAGACAAAAAGCCACTAAATTAGGAAAAACATGTGTTAGTTTTTCTGCAGTGAATTTAAAGAAGTTTTCATATTTTTAAGTTGCTTATCACTCTGGTGATAAAATATGAATGATTTTGTGATTATTTCCTGAAATATTGGACGACAACAGCATTTGAACTTCCCACCCTGTGCATGACTTTAGAGGAAAACGGTTGCCATGGTAAAATGGTTAAAAAGGATAAGTTGGGGTTTGGTTGTGTTTGCAGTTTTTTATAATGATGTCAAAGTGTGATAGAGTTGGATAACTCACTGGAGCAGCCCAGAGGGTCGGATGCACTCAGGCCGTAGTATCCTCTCTTACAGCGGTCGCAGCGGGGTCCTTCAACATTCGCTTTGCACAGACAGGATTCGGAGTTGTGGTCACACTGACCCCCGTTTATCGACCCCTCGGCACTGCAGATACAACCTGAAAGCAGCACGAACACGAGTCTCTCCATCAAAGAGGTTGAATCCACATCTAATCCTTTTTTTGCAACATTTTAGAAAGATCACCACATTTCAGTTTCCACAACTTACGGGTGCAGGCGTCGGGACGGTCCATTTGGCTGCGGGGGTTCGGCTGGTATCCTGGAGCGCACCGGTCGCACTTGGGTCCCGTCGTGTGGTGCAGACACCCCTCGCACACACCTCCGCTCCTCCGCCCGCTGGCCTCGTACACGGCCTGGTCGAAGTGACAGCGCTGGGCGTGGTTGTTACACTCACAGCCTGAAGGGGAGAACAAAAGATGCTTAAAAAAAACTGCTCTCTGAGAAATGTTACAAAAGATGCTTAAAAAAACATTGAACTGCTGTCCACTAAAGAGTGAAAAAAATGGTTGTTTGCATTTACACATGCAGCCCCCTCCTGCAAATATCAGGAGAATTTCAGGGCCTATGTGCAGGTGTGAAAGAAAGCCGTATGAGTCTTCACATTAGGTGGTACAGCAGCCTGTTGAGAGAGACATGACAGCCTCCTCAGGTGTGATGGAAGACTTACGTTGGCATGTGTGAGTGTTGTCCTCCTCCGCATGTCTCCAGGGCAGATCGTTGTAGAGATCAGCACAACGCTCGCAGTTCATACCGGCTGTGTTGTGCTGGCAGTCACACTGAGGATTCACCTGCAAGAGAACAAACATGACATGTGAATAGATGTTGAATGCGAGGTCAGCTGGGATCCTGGTGTGCTACATCCTGGTGTTTTAGGCACTCAAGGCAGGTAGCTATCAGGGTTAAATAAAGACCTGTTTCCACCAACCTTAAGCGACCTCAAGCTGGGTCTGGTTTGGTACAGACCAACCAGACCCTTACTTGGTAAGCGCGGTGTAAGCTGGATGACAATAGCCATGTCAGCTATGTAACAGTGTGACATCACAGCAGTGGGACACAATGTGAACACTTCAAATGTGAAGAAAATGATGACACATTAATCAATGATCCCCTGGGAGGTCGTCCAAGTAGCGGTGATACGCCTTTGCAATAATATCCTCTATACCCTATTACCGCTGTCACACAGGAAGTGATGTTTTTTTAAACAATAAAAAAACAATATGCAGTGTGTTTAACTCCACCCTTTAGCATTGGATCGGTCCACTTGGCCCCCCAGCAGAAGGGTAGCAACAAAGTAGGACGGTACAGATCGGGTGCTTTGGTACCATTACCAACTTTTGACCTTACTGAACCAGACTGCTTGGTGGAAACAAGGCCCCTACACAGCATTTATTTAGCTGCCTTATGTTCAGCAAACACATCTGTCTTTGTTCCTAATTTGATGCATGCATCAGGGCCGATATCAAGAGTAGGCATGAGGTCTTCTTGGAGAAGGATCTCCTGGTTGTCGCATAAACCAAAGATCTGAGGTTTTTCTTCTCCTAGATTTACATGCTTGTAAATCTACATGCTACATGCTTGTAAATCATGACTTGGAGAGAAACTTACCCCGGCTTTGTGGGAAATTATTTAGCTTATCTTAACCAGAGACCACACCCTGGGTATTTCTCATAATGAAAGCAGGAGGATGTGTTGTGTATCTTTTCCTCCAGAATGTACAAATTCTCAAACACCTGTCCTACATACCTGGATACCGTAGCTGTAAGCTTGTGGCAAGCATCTGTTGGCGTGTCCGTGGCACATACAGCTGCCCATCACCCTCATGTCCTTCAGGGCGAAGAACTTACTGAGAGCTCTGCCGGGCAGACGAGGAACCTCTCCGAGCTCCAGCAGCTTCAGCCTCAGCCCCGTTATCCCCGACACGTCTGTGAAGGAGACAGCTGTCACTCAGAGACACTTCTATTTTTTAATGAGTTTTCTTCTGAGAATATTTCACGGCTGACATGGCTTACCTTCAATTTTTTGGCTGTTGGGAATTGGCACATAAGCATACTGACGCAGAGGGCTGAACTGGATCTGGAGGAGAGAAACAAACATTCTTACACTCTGTTCTTTTCTTTCTTTCCATCACAGACAGTTTCCTTCATTTTGTACCAAACTGTGTGTGTGTTTTTTTTTTAAAGAGAGCTCCTCTTACTGTGTGATCTTGGTAGGGGTTGTGTTCAGTAGGGGGCAGTGTGTAGCAGTATGTCTGATCCAGGTCAACAGGAGTTGCTGTTGGGATGCCGGGGAAAGATTTCTGACAGTCTTTAGCCAAGAACAGAGTAGGCTGCCAAGTTTTGCCCTTGTCCTGTGTCCTCTCTATGACCAAGGCACTGGGACGAGGACCCTGCAGAGAGAGAGAGGGAGAGAGAGGGAGAGAGAGAGAGAGAGAGAGAGAGAGAGAGAGAGAGGGAGAAGTAAAAAAAAAATGAAATACAAGTTTAAAATTGATATGTGATGATGTGTACAGGATGTAACAGCAGAGATGCAAAAACCTTAAAAAAAGTAGATGCATTGTGACCTTTATAAACTTTTAACAGGACAGTTATGTGTAAACTGGGTCTCACCTTGAAACTGAGCACCAGGTTGTCGAGCTGAAACAGGTTGTCGAGGTCCAACTCCAGAGTGACGGGTTCCACCTCTACAAGACAAACAAACAAACAAACAAACACTCTCATTATTCACCACAAATAATCATTGGACACCGATTTGTTCTATCAGAGAAATACACAATTCATTTTCATGAAGATGTTCTTTGGGTGTCCTGTAGACAGAGGGCGCTGTTGAGCCCTGTTACAGATTACAGGATCCTTGATTTTGTGGAGAGAGAATCAAGACCTTTACAAAAATGGAGCTCCTGTCAGTTCAGAAAGAATTATCCAGATGTTTGTGATGTGCTCTGACTCTTCAACGAGCTGCAGGTCTTGAGTCTATTCATTCAAACTGAGTGTGGGATTTGACTCAACTGTAAACATTTGACTCATATCTGATACAAAAAACTACATTTTTCAGACGAGCAGATCGGGACAAATAAACGCTGTTCATGACGAGCCTCGTTCCAGCTTGCAATTTCTGCCAAATGGACAAAATGGACTGTTCTTAAACATTGGTTTTCTAGTCTTCTGATCACTCAAAGTGTTTTTACACAACGCCACATTCACACACACTTTTGTGCAATGATGTCAAAGGATGTTGTGTAAAGTGCTCATCAGTATATTTACTTCATATGCGTTCATCCACGTGTCATTTTTGGGATTCAGTGTCTTTCAGAATGTTTTTCTAACACTAATATGTGTCTCTAGTCTGTCTACAAACCCCCAATTATGAAAAAAAAATACTTTTTTCCTGCTCCACTTTTCAGAAAATGTGTGCTCAAGCAGGCCATTTGGCGATGTTCCCTTCATGACATCACAAAGGGCAGTACCCCCTCCCCCAGGTGGGTGACACTCCCACAGCTAGGTGTTTGTTCTGCCCTCTGAGTCTGCCTTCTCCCCGTAAACAATAGGACATGGAGCGAGAAAGCACCGAGTACACCCAAGCCCTTCCAGAGAGGGGGCGTGGTCAGGCACAGCTCATTTACATATTTAAAGGTACAGACACAGAAACAGCCTGTTCTGAGCAGGGCTGAAATAGAGGGGTTTATAGACATGATCAAATACAGGATCAGAGTGGATTTAGAACAAGAAACTTCACACACATGTTTTGAGGAGCTCTGAGACTTATTTAAACTGGTTGAAAAGGAGGAGGATATGTGACCTTTAAAGACACTTTGCATCTTTGTTTCTTTCTGTTTCTGAATCTTTGTTTATTTAAATCTCTCCCCACCTTTCTTGGACTGCCACCATCTGTCTTGTCCCGATGTGGCAAGGACATCCTTCAGGGTGTGAGCCTGTGGACCGTCTGGGTTCCTGGAGTCGCAGGGACAGCACTTCATCCTCCTCTGTAAAGAGAAAAAAAAAGTCCCAAATCAGGTCTAATAGTACATTTGATATAATTTACTCGTGTTGGTTTAGAGTTATATAACTGTAATGTCCTGAAAACTGACCCATGGACCTAAGGCTAACTTCTAAATCTGTCTCTTTGCCCCGTTTCTGTGCCAGGTAGATAAGCGGTCACTGAGCCAGTTAAAATGGTGGACAGAGACACAGAAAATCAATAATGGTCAAATTATATTCTCTGGGTTGTGAAATAGAAAACATTTGATCGAGCTGGTAAACAACTTGGGACCCCAGAATCAGTCGAATCGTCTTTAGATTTTATAAATATATGCGAGCAGACAGCCCAAATATTCCCTCAAAATTCGCAGTAATTGAGCTGTTTTTCCACTCTTTATGCCATCTCGGTTGTTTTTATGAAGACATGAGGTATGTTTTTTGAATGCACCGACAGCTGGTGTGCCCTCTACGCTGGGTCCTCTGGACGTCTTTGCCACCCTGGTACACAAGACCGTGGCCACTCGCCCTGTAGGGGAAAGTTCACTCACTACTTTGCGCTTCAACAATTTGGCCCTGGAAAAAGTTTCCCCTTCCAGCAACGTGTCTCAAACATGTGAAGACCCCCCTGGGTGACAAGAACAGAGCGAGGGTGGAAAAAAACGCAGTTCCTCAAATGGCCACTTGAGGCTGGCTCCAAAAGTGACTCGATCGTGAGTCACTTTTGACTCGTTAGATAACCCACCATCTCATGGAAGGAAAGCACAGGAAGTTGCTCTGAAGGCAGCCCACATGATCCTTGTGGCTCAAAGCAGGAAGGTGAATAACACTGGCAAAGGCTGATGGGTACCTTTGAAAAACAAACAAGGCTGCACATCCTGCATGAAGGGGTACAGAGTTGAAGGATCGATGTTGTTTCTTTATGTCTACTGCCGGATGTTGATAAAAGAGGCTAGGGTTGGAGACACCACTCTCCAGAACCAGAAACTTGCAGGGCGAAATCTCGTCCAGAAGTGGAGAAAAAACCCTGTGCAGTCTCTCCAATTTTCTGGAGTTTCTGGTGGATGAGTGGAAAATCCCACAATAGAGAAATGCAAATAGAAGCACTGATGAGGTGAATAAATTGTGATACCAGCTCCTGTGCTGAGTCAAGTCGATTACACATAACATTGATATAAAAGTAAAAAATTTTCATTGAAGCATCAAACTCGACTTCTCCAGTGAGATTCTATACCACATGGTAACCAAAGGCCACTAAACCGTTCAGTACAGCACCTCTGTCGGAGACCGCTGACATGAAAAAGTGTTTGTTTGATTATTTGTTACAAAATCTGGCTCAGTGGTGAAGCATACCTAACAAGATGGGACAGGTTTCTCTGAGCATGCTTTCATCTATACAAGTCTTACTCTTTATCTCCAGTCATGCATGCGTGTGTGTGTTTGTTTCAGTGTGTCAGCTCGCAGATACAGGTGAGTGTTCCTGCCGCTCCCTGTCTGGGCAAGGTGCGGTCGGCACAGGTAACAAAAAAAAAGCAACGGGGAAAGTGTTGATCATTCGAGGAGAGTTATCTGTTCCTTGAGGCGTCATAAACACAGCTCACACCCAGTCAGGAATGAAGATTTCCTTAACGTAAACACAAATATTAACTCGCCTGTGTTTCACTGCTGCTTTGTTTTTCAGGCTGGATTTGGATTTAGGGTTGACATAACTAAAATTTTCTCCAGATCCACTTTTTAAGATTTTGGTTGAAATTGTCTTTAGATCCTGACAGAAATTAATAACTCATGTTCTCTGAAAAAGGAACGAAGAAAAACCGTCATCTGTATCAGTTGTAAACCTGTAAAAACTTCAATCAATGCTTTTGAGGGAGCACAGAGGGGAGGGGGTGGGTGCAGACGGCGCACTGAAGGAATGCTACTTTCAAAATCATGCTAGTTTTAGAAAAATGACTAACCCTTATTAATGTCTGTCAGGACCTAAAGACAATTTCAACCAAGATCTTAAAAAGTGGATCTGGAGAAAATGACCAACCCTGACTTTAACCTCTACATCTTTAATCTGAACTAACAATTAATTTGTAAACAAAGACTTTTATATAAAGGTCTGTATGCAGCAGCTTTCTGAGCTGCATTAGGCAACAGTTAAGCTCTCGACCTTTGCTGCCCTCTTGGTCCATGTTGCACCATCGCTCTTATCATTACACCATGACGTTGCTTAAATGCTGTACAAAAATCAAACATTTTTTTAAAATATGCATCAAACACTTTTTGTCTGGGGGAAATCTGACATTTCAAATTCAAATTTGAATGAAGATTATCTTGTTAGAAATAATTCAGAGGACTCCTTCACACAGGCAGAATCCAAAGAAAAGCCTGGAGCGCATGAATCACGTATGGAAAATTAATTAAGGTCAAAACGTTATCCCTTGCACCTGAATAAATTTGCTGTCACTGATTCCTGTGTGAAGGAGTCCTCTGAATTATTTTTGACATCTCAGGTGCTTTCTCTGAGAGCACCGACTTCTATCTGTGGAGGGGGCTGAGGCACATGAGTTTCCTTCTACTCTGGGGAGATTATGAAGTGTCAAATTTGTGGAAAAATAAAAGAAAATTGAGTAAAGAAAAGGGTTAGGGGTTAGGGTAGTTCCAGTGAAGTTATGAAAATGTCTGATAGCAGACAATACAATCAAACACTGATCCAACTCACATCAACTTTTCTCTTTTATTTGAGCAAGAAATCGAACTCTTGCTTACTTGCTTGCACTTTGCTTTGCAAAATTAAAGATTATTTCCAAATCAGCATTAAAGTCCAGTAAGGGGAGGATTTTGCTGAGCAGACAGATGGTTTGCTGGCACGGCTCTTTCAAACACTGGGCAAAGAGTACAGTTGCAACACGAGGCTGCTCTGGCACTAAAACCAGACAGTTTCATAAATTGATATTCCAGCCAAAGCCACCACTGTTACATGAGCATCTGTTCACCATGACCTCTACACACCTCCCCTCATGATGGTGCAAACCCTCACGTACAGACCCATGCTTGGTCCGGGTGAACACAGCTGTCCGAGGCAGTGACTGTGTGTGTGTACTCTGACCCAACTGATATGAGTTTATATGAGCCAATATCAATAAAAAAATGCTAATTTGCTTTGGTTGCCTCTTGAGCTGCATTTTGATTTCAGGTGTTAACTCATCAAAGTCGCCTCCACCTGTGAACAAGTCTCCCAGTATCAAGATAACTAACTAAGATTGGGAGGGGGTTAAGAGAAAGACATTAGTGTCTCCAAAAACCTGCAGTGATGAAATACACTTCCTGATGTTTATTTTCCTACCTGTTCATACGGGGTGCAGTAGACCTCGGAGCCTGTGAGGCCGCAGGTGGAGGAGGCGTAGAGCCGGTCAGCTCTGCCCAGGAGCAGGTCATTGGGGGGTGGGTAACAAGCCCCCCGAGAGCAGTCCGTCTGGGCCTGTGATGCTGCAGCGATAGCTGGAAGGAAGAGTGGAGCACAATTAGAAATGAAGAGCATCAATATCCTCATCTAAACTCTTTTTCTAAAGTTGATTATTTGAGCCTTAAAGAGGACATATCATCCCCCTTCTCCACCTTTTCAAACAGTCCCTCAGTGGTCTAAATGAAACATCTGTGCTGTGCTTTGGTCAAAATATAACATGAATCAAGCACCAGAGGAGGTTTGTGACCCTGTATAAACCAGCTCTCTCAGAACGCTCTGTTTTGGTGTGTGTGTCTCTTCAAATGCAATGACCCCCCCCCCCCCCCCCCGAGTTTTCCCCGTAGACATCACTCCTCTGTAGAGAGAATAAAAATGGAGGACCTGCTCAAAAGTTTTGCTCTTGGCTGGGGGTGGAGTCCATGGGTGGAGATATCAGGGGAGGGGAGGGGATTTCTTTTTATCAGAATCCCACTGTGACATCACAAGGAGAGCACATTTGAAACAGAGCATTTTTCTCTGTGTTGTAAGACTTATGCAGACCACAAACAAAGAACTGGATGGGTTTATTTCACATTTTGTGGGTCAGTAGACTCTCAGGTTACCAGATATATGTTCAAAAACACTGTACAAGTGGATTTTTCAGAATATGTCTCCTTTAAACACAACGTTCTTTAAACACAACGTTCTTTAAACACAACATTCTTTAAACACAACGTTCTCAGGCCCCGATCGGATGCAGGAACAAAAAGGGAGTTACTTTAGTTCCTTTTGATCATATACCTTTCATAAACACTGACTATTCCATGTTGAATAATCAAACTTTACGAGTCCCAACAGTTACAATACAATCCACTAATTATAAGTTATTAATCAGTCCGTTAACCTTCACTCTGAGAATGTACCCTCTCCCCTCACACACCTTAAACACCGTCAATCCTAACCAACATGATGCTTCTTTAACTTTTGCTCAAACTCGTTCTAAACAGACGGAGCGTTGACAGAGTTTCCCTTCATGATTTGGGCAGGAAATGTTGTCATCCTATCAGAACCAGATAGAAACAGGGACTCAAACGCAGACTCACACAAACGTTGCTGAGTTCAGAAAAAAGCAGAGTTTAACAACAGTCCGGGTCGATACACAGTAAGGCAATCAACCAGGCAAACAAATCCAAAAGGAGCAAGCAAGGTCAAAAATCACTAGAAAACTCACTACGGAAAAAGGCTGAAACTAGGCAACACACTAAAGACCAAAGTAGGAAATATAATCAAACAAGGGAAACAAGCAACACAGGGAAGAATGATAAATTAAAACAACCAAATCTAAACACTGAAATACCAAAAATACAAAACTAAACCAGATCAAATCATAACACATGAATGGAGAAAAAAAGAAATGCACCCATCCCATAACTTTCATTCTAGAAAAGATCAGAGATTTGATGAAGTTAGTCGATCCAAAGATCTAAACTTTGAGCTTCCTACTTCAACATTAATCCTCTCTGTATTCTCACACCTTCAGTGAAACGTGTAGAAACAGTAATTCAAATTAAAGGATGCCTATTTGGGATTCACAACAAGTCAGAGCAAAGCATCGCATGTCCTCAAAAGACTGAGACTAACAAGCTCTACTGCTTTGCACTTCTTTGTTTCGTTGTTTAAGAAATCCAAGCGTTTTCTGTTATTTCATACAGAAGTAAAAACGACGCAGGGAGGGGAAAGTTTTTTGAACAGTTGTGAAATTATGAACTCCTTCCAAGGTTTTCAAAACGTGTACAATCATGACCAGTATGCAGGCTTTCACTGCAGACAATAGAGCTTAGTTTCTCTCCTCAGTAGTGATCATAAAGCTGCATACTTTACACTTCAAAGGATTCAGGTGTGGAAATTTCCATATGGCTCTATGCACCAGTAAGTGAAAGATAAAGAAGTTAATCTTACCAGCCAGGAGTAAAAGTATTCTCATGTTGTGTTCCTCTGCTGAAAAAGTCTGAAAAAAAAGATCATAAAAAAAATATAAAAAAAATCAGTAATCAGAAACCGAGTAGGGTAAAATCCGAGCCGGGTGACTGTCCGTCGATGTGAGACTCACCTGAAAGTGTGTATGATCCTATCAGCTGTTATCTGAGTTTCTTAATGTGTGTGTGTCTGCCTGGCAGCTGCTTTATAAACACCGTCTCACCTGGACGGTGTGATACAGTGTGTGTCAGAGTCACACCCTTCACCTCCACACCCTTCACTTCATGAATCAACACACCCTCATACTTACACACACACACAGGCAGACACACGCAGACACACACACACACACACACACACACACACACACACACACACACACACACACACACACACACACACACACACACACACACACACACACACACACACACACACACACACACACACACACACACACACACACACACACACACACAAACAGAAAAACCAAGGTGCTACAAACAAACACACTAAATGAGAGGTAATACACCTCAAATACAAATCTAAAACTGAGCTCAAATCAAATGTAGATACATTGAATGTGTATGAATTGATTAGTTACTTCTGATGGTCTCTTTATATACTCTACCATCGGTGTGTGAATGTGAAGGTGTGACCTGCGGTGTAAAAGTGCTGTGAGGAGCCAGGAGACTAGAAAAGCACAACACAAGCTCAAATCCATTTACCATGTACACATTCAAACCATCTCAGAGACAATCAGAGCAACAACAACAACAATGAAAAGGATCGATTTATATCTACAATGTCAGAAATAATTAGAGCTCGACCGATCAATCAGTCAGCCGATATTTCAAAGATGGTGGGTTGTTAGAAAACCCACCACCTCATGGGAGGAAAGAACAGGAAGTTGTTCTGAAGGCAGCCACAGGATCCTTGTGGCTCAGAGCAGGAGTCCAGTGAGTATTCCAGTTTCTAAGATTTGTGTCCCTGATGTTCCCAAAAACCAGATTGCTGGGCTGCAAAGAAAACCCGTCATCAGTACACCTTTTGTACTGACACATTGCATCTGTAACCGTGTAATATTGACGTCCCAGTGTGTGAATTCACACTGAATTACGATATTCATGCATACACACACAGTGCTGTTCCGCCTCGCTATCAGCCGATTTTAGCGTATCAAGTGAGTATCGGTATCGACTAATTTCATCACAGATAAGCGCCCATATTTGTCGATTTATCAACCAGTCAAAGAGCATTTCATTTGAGTTTCTTTGTATTACACTAGCTGCTCTCTCTCACCTGCAGAGGGCGCTGTATTGATTACAAGAAGCATCATCACTCTCCAGAGGGTCAAGTGGTGACGCATGTACATGCACATTTATTTTCCATCTGTGTTTGATAACTGCATTTGAGGGATCAAGATAATAAATGTGTATATCTTTATCTACTTTCTACTGAAAGATATCAGCCGATATATCATATCTGTGTTTTTTTCTACCTAATGTCGATATCGGTATCGGCCCCAAAAACTTCACATCGGTCAGAGGCCTTGTAATAATGTTAGAAATATGTGTAGTATAATCATCTGTATTTGATAAAGACTTCATTATTGGTTCATAAAAAAGATGTTCAGTGTTTTTAACAGTGTCTGGTGGTCTTTTCCATCCACAAAACGTCACATTTCTTCAAACACACACACAGCTCCTCCCTCCCTGTACAGACACAATAGATGCCCTGCAGGCAGTGTTTCAGGCTGTGTGTTAACTCTGCCGAGCCCTCCTCATCGTCACCTCTGTTCAGGAGAAACAGCAGCCCGAGGGCCAGCTGAGAACACACCTTGAGTTTTTCTCCGTTCTCCGCAGACACACTGACTAAGTCCAGGTACAGGGTGTGTCTCCTGACTCACCTCACACTCACACACACACACACACACACACACACACACAAACACACACACACACGTATACAAAGACTTCTATGCTCATGCTGATGCAGACAAGTACCATCCTGCCTCCAATAGTTGCAGATTGAACCTCGAGATGTGACTTCCTGGTTACAGCCTTGTGTTTCCGCTCTTGGCCTGTACACCTGAGTAAACTTACGCACTACAAAGCTGATTTTAAATGCCATGGTCGACATTTTTTGGTTGCCGGTAACCAGATATTACAACACCTCAGTGATGTGTTTTCTCCCTCCAGACAAGGAGGAGCTGTGTGATAAACCTTACTGGAATAAAATGATAAGGTCGGAGGAAAGGAGCAGCAGAGGGGAAGACTTTTCCACCTTCCAGTCTTTGTCCGTTTAGGACGGATTTAATGTCCGACAGATCTCGAGTATCTTAGAAAAAATTCAAAAAACTTTAAATATGTGATGAGAATCCATCAAACACACAACATGGTAGCTGTAGCAGCAGAATATTGTTTTTGGGAGATAACAGCCAAGCTACAGAGCCGCTGCTTGTCAACAGGCAGGGCAGGCCATTGCTTGGGGCCCCTGGTCAGTTACCTATACACATGTGCAGGTCATATAATTAAAATATCAGGAAAAAGTATTTTTTGTCCTGTAATTTAATTCAAAAATTCAAAATGTATTTTTAATATCCGTCTTTTCTCCGTTATTAAACTCTGCTGATGTTGACAAGTTTCTTTGAAGTCTGATCCGCTGCAGCGTCCAATCAATGAGTGATATTCAATAAGGGGGCGTGTCTGTGTGTAAAAAGATTTCCGCAAAGTCAGCTCTCGTGTATCCTCGGCCATCGCTCCTCGGATCTCTCTCCTCTCTCCTCGATCCTCTCTCCTCCGTTCAGTGACAAGAGCTTTGGGACGATCCTGAACATGGCGGGTCTAAAACTACTTCCGGTTCGGCCGAGGAGCGAAGAGTCAGGAGACAGAGTTTAAGAGAACTGAGATGCAGGGTGGCCTTCAGCTCGCCTGTATTGTTTGGTCTGGTGTCTCTTTTTTTTTTTTGCTGCACCCTGAAAATACATAGTCCACTTTAAAGGAAAAGTTTACTGCCTGAACTGTAACCTCAAAAGGTGGTGCACCAACTTTAAGAATATACTAGGCTGATAATATGAGTGCATTTGTTTGGGCTCGGTCCAGTCGATAATGACCTCGTTACATTTACAGATGTGACCTTTTCCCCAGCAGGAAACAAACACTGAGCGACCACTCTGTAAAAGGCTCTTATTTTTAACAGGCTAAGAACAATAAAACTTTAAGAGCGAGCACACGTGCTAAATGTCAGTGTGGGGTCTCCCTGCTCGCTGGGTCTCCCCCCTGAGCTCCTTCAAACAGTGAGATTATTATGAGGATTGCATTGTCTTAAAACACACATCAGAAGGACTGCTCAGCTTTTGTCTGGCCCTAAACCTGTGCAAATGACAGAAAAAGTTATACTTAGCATGGTGCCAACAAAGCACACACACAAAGGGTGTTCTATTCTATCTCTGCTCAATTCTTTACCTGAGATGTTGCATTAAAGGGGACATGTTATGAAAAATCTCAGAGGGGGGGTCATTGCATTTAAAGAGACACACACACCAAAACGGAGCGTTCTGAGAGAGCTGGTTTATACAGGGTCACAAACCTCCTCTGGTGCTTGATTCATGTTATATTTTGATCAAAGCACAGCACTTTAAATCTGAAATGTCAATGCAACCATTCATTGATGATCCCTGCAATGAGAAAGTCTGTCACAGATCCCAACAACATTATGAATGGAGGGAATTTAATGTGAATAGTTCCACGACGAGATTAAATAGCCTGGTTTGAGAATTGTCAGAAATCTTTCATATGTGCCATTTCAGATCAAGAAATGACGATAAGGGTCAAATAACATCTTCTTGTGAGTTTCAGAAAACAGATGAATCATGTTCTGTTGTTGTCATGTTTCCCGGCTGGTTCACGGCCAGAGACTGAGAACGTGAGTGCGGTACGTGTAGTGTGTGTGAGGCCACCGCTCCGTGCTGAACGGCTCGTCTGCCCTCTGACCTCACAGAGGAAGTGTTGCAGCCGCAGACAGGCTGCAGGGTGACGCGGGTTTTCACAGCCTTTCCCCCAATTTGGTGACTGTCAATGTGGAAGATTCACTTGGACTCCATCATCCAAACAACAAAAAACCCCATTGGTCACCTGCATGGCTTTTATCCAACAGTACCAACAATGTACGGACCTGGAGACAAACAGAGGCACAGCAAATGTTTATTCCACTTCTATTTTTAGCCTCCTGATAACACCTTTACCTTTAACCCAATAGTCTGAACATGATTCTGATTTTTCTTTTCCTTCAGGTCCAATCACTAGAAGTACGATAAGTAGAACATGGTTAAATATGAGGAGACGTTATAGTTTCATTTCTCAGATCACCTCTGTCAACCTTCAATAAGATATAACGGCAATGAGAGTAGTTTCATTTCATGCCTTTGGAGGAAATAAAAACACATCAGCCTCCCATGTTCTCTACATGTGATCCCATACACACAGACCCTCGCACATGTGTATGGAAGGGAAATGTAGAAAATAAAAATTTATTTTATTTCTTTTCGGTCCAAATTGGGCGAACTAGGAGATTGCAGGCTGGTCTCGCCTGTGATCCAGGCTCACAATTTGCTCCCTCTGTGTCGAGGTGCTGGCTCAGACTTCCAGATACCCCGAGCAGGAACACCTTACACAGCCCGACTCTCACCAACTGCAAGTTAAGCTCGATTGCAATAAATACTCAATTTAAACATCCACAAATTATTCAGATTGAGACTCTAAATATCAGTTTTACAAATTGCCAAATGGCAACTTTCTTAAAAACAAGTCCAAACACAGGGAGAAACAAAGAAGACTGAAGAAGGAGACACGTAGAAGGTTTAACAAAGGAAGAGAAAGACACTAAATAGACTTGGGATGATTGGACACAGGTGTGCCAAACAAGACACAGGTGAAGGTGGTGAAGCCAATCAAAAAGGAAAGGAAGTAACACGAGACATGATAACACAGAGTCAAGAACTACAAAATAAAACACTGAAAACTAAACCCAACATGAAAAATACACACAGGGATGAACTACAGACTGTAAGCCGGTGTCCTTGACCTTTTTATCTGAAATTCTAACCCACATGAAATCAGCTACGTGCAGCCTTGATTTTATTCCCACAACATTTCTCAAAGAGGTTTTTAACACAGTTGGACCCAGTATTTTATCCATTATTAATAGTTTTTTGGCGGAAGGTGTAG